TAGCGAAGGCAGCCTTCGACGATGCGATCGCCGAACTGGACACGCTGTCTGAGGAGAGCTACAAAGATTCTACCCTCATAATGCAACTCCTCAGGGACAACCTCACTCTATGGACATCGGATATGCAGGGAGACGGTTAGTGTCCCATTTACTTATAGAGGCAAAACTGCCGTAGGGATGTTTTGATTACGCTAGAATGCGTTGTGCGACGTATTCCGCCTGTTCTCGATCGATCGACATGCAGACGAATACTATGCATTGTGATAAAATGATTTTATCTCGTCTCACGTAATTTACCTAGGGTGTCTCAGAAGCTACATGCTTCATCACGACTAGAAATATAGAAAAGAAGAGGAGAAACTTTTTTTTTTCAATATATCTTTTATTAAATTCTAGGAACAAAAGGAACTTTTTTAGTTTTATAATTCCAATCGTGATCTTTTTTTACTTCTGAATTTACTGCTGGGATAAAGTAGATAAACATTTTTGTCTGAAAATTGCAAATGAATGATCTGAAATTGTTGAAAGATAAGGAAACGTGTTATACATAGATACATTTCACATTGCTCCTAATAGAGTTTTAAATTAACGTTTTTTAATTTGACGGAATGATTTGTTAACCAGTCATGCGCACCAGTGTGGCTCACCTGTGCCTTTCTGCGACCTTACGGCTCATAATTGGAAATATAAAATTATATTTTTTATTTTTTATGCAAACGAAATGAACATTATCCGATCCGAAAGTTTCCATCTATTTCTAAAAGTGACCTGAAAATGATTCTTGAAAAAGGTTGCGTATTATTGCATTGAATTACTCATTTTAAGTTTTACATACGTAGTTACTTAATAAATTGATTAAAAATTTTGTACAAATTTTTAATATTATATGATATGAGAATTATGGATAATTTAATATTTTTCTGAAGAAATATTGAATATCGGATTTGTGAAAATGTTAGAGGATAAAATCAATAAAACATTAAGATCATGAGATATTCTCAACTTTTCTCTCGCTCATATTTACATTTATATTTCTGCTGTAAACTTGTACTTGTTTTTAATTTATTTTAACTTGTAAGAAAATTGTACGGTTTTCGAACGCGGAATTAATACTTTGTAATTCAGAGTCCGAGTCTGATCTACAAGACGATAATGCTGTTGATATCCACGATGCCTGAACATAGATACCCTTTTCCTATCGTCCTCATCCTTCCAGCATATCTGCATTTGGTGAGCGACATAATTCTTATATAATTGTCATCATATTAAAAGAAATAAAAAAATTGAGAAAAATATCGCAAATTGAATTTATTTAAAATTATATCTCTTCAAATTGTTTCACTTATCAAACATAATTTATTTGACATGCATTGTTTAGATGCGTTCAACTAGATTATTTATTGATATATTTCGTATTTTTGTTGCGCAGGTGAAGCTGAACAAAAGGAGCAGCTGCAGGATGTGGAAGACCAGGACGTATCGTAACTCTAGCTGTAGTGAGTGTTATCTTGCGCATATAAAACTGAGACACAAGAAAAAACTCTTAAATAACTCGTAAGCAAAAGAAAAAAAAACCAATTCAGCAGGTGGCAGTTCGGGGTGGGAAGGGGAGATCTTTAGAAATTTGCGTGACCCTTTAAAAAAAGCACGCACTGTATGGTTACTTCAAAACAAAGCAGCAGCAGCAGCAGCAGCAGCAGCAGCAGCAGCGGCGGCAGCAGTGACAACAAAATACAACAGCAACATTAATAAATAAATAAATCATTTAGTTCATCCGGCATTATATTACGTACATATACATACAATTGAGTTACAGAACATGCAGAAAGTAACGAGACAAAAGGGCACGCACCCTGCGGTAAATAGAGAGACTGCAAAGCATTTAGGAGAAAGGCACTTTTCTGTTGCCCCGTTTTTGCGTATCGAGAGAAAACGTCGTATTTGCACTTTGTATGCGTCCGATAAATGTGCAAACGACGTCGAGAACGTCGAGCCGATGTCGATGCCGGCGCCGGTCGATTTAACCTCGGCAATTCAGATTTGATTTCCGTCACAGTGAGAACGAATTGTATGTCCTATGTTTTACATTGAAAGAGGAACAAAAAGGCGTATGGATTGCACGATGTTATATATCGGAATATATTTACATGACTGTCCGTTCTTACATCTCCATCACCTGGAGTTCTCCTCTTCCAATTTCCTCCTTTTCGTTCCTCGCTTTTTTTTTTTTTTTTTTTTTTTTTTTTACTATGCACGATATTTTATTCCACGCGTCCTGTAATTATTACGGTGTTTATTAGCGTGTAAATTGATTTATTTCGAAGACAATTTGCACCTCTCTCTCTCTCTCTCTCTCTCTTTACGGAAATAACGGCGGCGCCTTCATTGTCAGTTGTCAAGACGGATCTCGCTCTCGAGCTTGTATCCTGTAAAAGATATGTACTTCCAACAAGATCCGACACAATTGTAATGTTATAGATAGCCGAAAAGAAAAATTTTTAAATGCATGGATTCTTGGCATAGCCGAGCTGAGGAGAAGAGAATGTGCTTACTTCGATTGCCCCCTTCTCCCCCTCTCCCACCCTCTGTACCTCGTCAAATGCAATAACGCCTGATTTTGTGAGCTTCGAATGGAGACCGCGTCGCGAAGGAGCTCTGTAACATGAGCGAGAAGCGGTAAAATGTATCATCGAAATTCTCTGATGGCGATCTCTCGATTTTCCGTTCTTTTACGCATCTCTTCCGAGGCGAATGCGTCCCATCGCGTCAGCTCGATGAGCAGCGTCGTGATAAAAAAAAAGTGAAAAAATGGAAACGAAAGAAGGGGAAAAATGAAAAAGATTACGTTATCGTAGGTGAGCCTTTTTAGCGCGTTACGTTACTCACAGCAAACAAAGTAACTATCTAGCTAGTCTGTAATGTGGTTGTACGTTTTCATACGCCCGTTGTGTAAACTAAATATCGATTGCTGTGGTATAAGAACAGAATAAATGACTGTACCCCGACTTTTTCCACCCGCACATTTAATTATATATATTATATATATATAAAATAAATATATTCATATTTCTCTATCCTCGTCTTTCCCTTCCGGATGGACGATAGTTGGAATCAGTATTTGTAATTGTCCATTCGCCGATTCATCGACGAGCCATTCCATCGATTTTTACGTTGAAACATTCCATTGTTCTTGTAATGAGGAGTCTGTCGGGATCGTAGAGATTTACAGTGAAAAGTATCCTTTCTTCAGATCGATGAGGTAAGCTTAGCTAGTTACTGACCATTTTACGCATTAAACTTATCTACTTATTATATAGCTAGAACTACCAAAATCCATTTAAGCTCACTCAGTTTTCTCGCTGATAACGTGACGAAGAGGAGGCGCCGAATTTAAGCACAGCAGAGAAGCGAGGCGTTCGGCAACAGCAAGAAAAGCATAATTCGGCGAGAAAAACGCGGATTGCAACCTCCGCGAGGAAGACGAAAAAGCAGAAAATAATTGGTGTCCATCGTGCCCCTGTATTTAGGTATCGTAACGATAAAATTGATAATGTTACAAATGACACACGTTATGAGGAATAATTCAAAATAATATCAACCGGCTCTCGTAAAGTAAGTAAGTATATTTGCGAATATAATTGTAAGAACGTATAAGTAGGCTAAAGAGAAGGAGAAAAAGAAACGAAGAAATAATCTCGACGCGGGGGAGTCATCCGAGGAAGTCATCTCCGGTAACATTAACTCGAGTATATGACATGATATCGAGTCGATTATAATCGAGAAGATTAAATCGCGCGAAAACTGTGTGCAAGGTAAACAGAGCTCTAAATTAAGAACTGCGGAGCGAGGCGGATGCCGTCGTAGGCTGTAAAACGCAAGCGCATATATATAAATATATAAATATATTTCTCAAGTACATAGCATGTATCTGTGCGGCAAAGTGTTTTAAGGAATTTAGCTACATAAAAGCAAAAAAAAAAGTAACGCGTCACGTGGCAACGAATGGTGGTAGCGATCTCTGAACGCCGATGAATTATTAGCCCTTTGGGATTATCCCAATATCCGATTATACGTTTGTACAATATATAAATCGGAGACCATCTGGATTATTTCGAAAATTATCTAAATTTCAAACCACCTTTATTCGATTTATTCGATTTATTCGATTTCATTGATTTCAATAAGAATTAATCGCTATTAACAAGTAATAGTGCGAAGCCATGCTTTTTTGATTTTTCATCATCGTTCGGAGGAATTGTTGATTTTACATTCTTGGATCCGCATGCGTTCTTACGCTCTGTATTACAGTCGATGCGAATACACTGGATACAATCTTTTTTTTCTGTAACTACACACATGAAAGCTACAAATAAAGTAATTATAAATCTATGCCTTGGTCACAGTTTTATTAAGAGATCGATTTAAATTTTCGGCCAGCCAATTGTAGACAAATTTCGCAGCAAAGAGCTTTGAGCTCTTGTGTTAAATATTAATTTAATATTAAATATTTGAATATATTACTTAGATTATTTATTATTTTATATGACGAATACGTCATACGTCGGCGATTTAAATTTTAGACTTTTGGTCTTTCATTGCAGTCGTATTATCTTATGACTGCGTTCCGTTGCACGTATAATACGCATAAAGTATCGTTTTTATGCGTGCAATGAAACGCGGCTTATGACATCAGAAACGAGAATTTAATTTCTTGCATTATATATCACAACAAATTAATTTTTTTCCTAATTTTTCCCACTTATGTGTAGTTATGTATACTTATATTTAATAATACAAGCTGATAAAAAGTTCTTTTTTAAATTCTCTCTCTTTTCACAAATCTTTATAAAATCTTTCTTAAATCTAATACGTTTATGGTATGCAAGCAAAATAAATTATTTCAATGTATACCGCAAGTTTTCTTTAACAATTTTATGATTTATAAGTTTCTTGTATCTGATGTTTCTTATATCACAATTTACATACAATTGATACTGTGGTCATTCAAGCGTGGATTGTGATTGGCTGTACGTCAATGTTTCCAACGAGTGACACTGCGTCTCCCTTGTGAAATCGCGTTCGCGGAAGCTGCTTGAGCTGGACAAGAGTCTCCTTGGCCTGTTTAGATCTACTCGCCGCAGGATTCGCTCTAAATTGCCCTCCGAACCAGTCAAAATCGGCGAGAGATTGATATTTGATGCAATTCGGTTTTTAACGATTCGACCGTTTCTGGGTGATCTTCCAGTTTGAGCGTTAGGTCTACGCTTGGCGGATTTCAGCTTTACATTACGCAACATTTCCAAGGATACGATCGGACCTCTTGGGCCTGGTACAGTGTTTCGTCTATTTTCCTGAAATGTATGGAATACAACAATTTTTTATTTTTTATACTCCGTCATGAAGTATGAATGAACATTGAATTATATTAAAAAAAAACCTTTTAATTTTTCGCATACATGTACATACATCAGCGTATTAATTTTTTATTCAACAAGGATAGAAACAAAATTTAAAAAACAAATTTTGTTTACATGAAATGTAAATATAAAAAATATTTCTAATTTTTTCCGGTATAAAATTCTTTTTGATATAGTTATTTTTAATTTCTAAACAGTCTTAGATTCACACATTCCCTTAAAAGGGAAGGCTGTTCGAGAATTACAACTTTCTTATACGATCCGATTTTTTATGAATCTATCCTAATCAAGATTAATCCTTCAGATTAATTCTCGTATGATTTGCATTCATTAATTAAAAAAAATAAAAATCTTATGAGATCTAAGACAATCACACACATATTCTTAGAAGTTTATATTCACGATTTTATCGTGATGGATGTAATTTTACTAATTTACAGAATTTAGACAGTACTTTGATACTTTGTGGAGCCTTTTTCAGGGTGACTTTCAGTAAGTCTTCGACGGTGATCTTAGGCCTGTTGCACAATGGTGTGGAACACTTTCTTGTGGGTGTCCTATTCTTACTATTTCTACTACTGTTAGGTGTCGTTGGTTGTATCAATGGCATTTGAGATTGCAAGGAAACTGAAGGGTGAAGCGGAGGATGTGGGGGTGGTATTGAAGATTCTAATTTCGAGGTGTGCGCTTTTGGAGAAAATAAAAGAGGTAGCGGAGGTGGTAGTGATGGTGGTAGTAGTAGTAGTGAGTGTTGGGGGTGGCGGTGTCGGTGGTGGTGGTGGTGGTGATAATGATAATGATAACGATTGTGGTGGTGGTAGTGGAGGTGGAGGAGGGGGAAGAAATTCCAAGGAAGGTATCAACGGCAGCGGCGGCGGAGGGGGAGGAAGAGGAGAAGAAGAAGAAGAAGAAGAAGGAAAAGATGAATGTGAAGAAGGAAGTGAACGAGAAAAAGGTAAGGGAACCTGTTGCGAAGATTTCAATCGAACTTCCTCTAGCATTTCACGTAATTTCTTTAGCTCCAAAAGCAATGCCGTATTATCCTCCGTCATTTTTTTACTAGTTTCACGAAAGATGTTCATATTGGTTGTCAGAGCGTTAAGAGTGGTTTCGGTGTTCGTTCGCATCTATGATGGATCAAAAAGATATACGTAATATCAAAATATATAGATTTTTTAATATATACAAAATATTTATCACACATTTTTTCAAAAATTCATAAAGAAATAAGAATATAATTTGAAATTTAGTCTCACGGTGTAAGACCAAATGAATTTGAAAGTAATCTTACCTGGTTGAAATCTTCCGAAAGTCGCGTCATCCTTTCCGACATTGCGTGCAGCATTTCCCTTTCGGAACGCATTGTTTCCGCCAGATGATCAAATTTCTTTGTCGAAGAAGAAATCTTCCATAAAGGCGGAACGATCAATTTCTGTTGCAGTTTTTTGTAACCCTGTAAAAAAAATTGATTATCAATTTTACCTAAAATAGACAGATGTTATAAGTAAGATATTTATATATAAGTAATAAAAAAAATATTTACGCACAAACATATATATGTGTAATTAAAGTTATTTATAAAATTATTTCTATGATTAAAAAACTTTTCCAAGTGCTAAGAATACCAAAGTATACCAAAGAATTTGTATCATTTCAATATGTTAAGAATTATAGAAAGATTCGACTGTAATTCAATATAGCTGCAGTGAGGAAACAAGAATATTCATTTTAAACAAATTATATAAGAAACTTACGACATTTACGAGATGCACCAATTTTTTTATCAGCCAAATGCTGATAGTAATCACCCATGTGATTATCGTACGGGTAATGTTTCTTCGTTGAAATACACGGGTGGGAGTATCTCGAACCGTTGTTTGGGGTGCCTGGTGATTATGAGAGCCATTCCAGTGATATTCTGTCTAATTATTTGAAAACACAGAGAAAGAAATTTTGAATTATCATGAGGATAAATTAGTAAAGTGCACATCTGACGGGCAGCAACTTCAATCGGGAACTGAACAAGTGAAAATAACATATATATAGCACAATTTGATGAAATTCTCCATATCAAAGATTTATATTTTTCCCTCAATGCATGTTATATTGAATTACGACATCGTAAGTGAGAAATACTTTATTTACACTGCTTTATATATTATTTTATTTTAATAAACGACGTATACTTTTTGCAGAGAGTCGCTACGACGGCAATCATGGTCAGATAGTTTGGAAGCGGTCGTTGATTCCGGAAAGCGACTGTCTTGATGAGGTACTTTGCAGAAGGGCAGATCTAACAGAAACGAACGCTTCTCATCTTTCTTCTTCATTTCCGAAAGCGGTTCCGTCTCCGTGATATCCGGCGCGCGAGTTGCCGGTTGCCGGTGCTTGGCCGCCTCTCCTTCGTCGGCTTCGTCCTCATCCCTGAATGTTAAGGTCGTTCGGCGACAGCGTTTCATCAATCTGATCACGCGAGGCGTCGTGGACTCCGCCGACGTCGGCGGAATTTCGCTTTTCTCGGCTTCTCGCTTCGATCTTTCGCATTCATTCGATTCATGCTGATGGTTCAGTTTCCTCGGCGAAGTCGAAGATGTGCAAAAGACGGAGGGCAGACTCGGCAGGGACAGTGTCGAGACGGAGATGTGGGGGAGCCTCCTGTACTTGTGTAACAAGAACTCGCTGCTTTCGACTGCGTCGTCGTCGGCGTCGCCGCGAGTCTTCCCGCCATTCATTTTCCGCAGATACGCAAAGATCTTCCGGAACTCACGCCAATTCGCTGTCAAACGTTCGCCGATCCTCTCGAGCGCGACGTCAAATTTTTTACAGTCATTCGATGTTCTCCTCTTATTTTTCTCCGAATTATTTCGCAATCCATCGTCAGATCCATTGACGGATTTACGGACTGATAATCCGAGCTCGCTCCGGTCGTCGGTCTCGCATAAAATCTCAAAATGTGGGGCTTCCGAGACGCGATCCATCCCCAATTTGTTACCGATTATCGTCGACGACTGCTCGTCCAGATAGCTATTTATCTCACGCATGAGATTGTCGTTCATCGAAAATGTCTTATCTAATAAATAACAATCGTCCATCGTTTCAAATATATTATAGTAGTCTCGTTGATTTGAACTGGGAGATCGTTTTTCATCGAAATTCGCAGGTTCTGGGACATTCGCGAAAATGCATACGTCGTCATGTGATTGGGATTTCAAATTGGAACGAAATATCGTTGACCTCGAAATATTTCGATAAACTTCTTTATCGATGGTATTCGAGGATCTCTCATCATGTGTTATATTGGCCATTCTATTCTTGTTTACCTTATTGTTCAAGGACGATAAACAGAATGAATAATTCTCCGTGAGATCAAACGGCTCGCTGGCGATCGATTTAATAGTATCCTGCTCGCGTTCACAGTTTTCTAAATAATTATTAGGATAATCATTTGTACACTTGGTATCGTAAATCCAAAGCTTCGACTTCCAATACTTGGACGAGATCGGACTCGATTGCTCTATCATCCGCGCAGCGATCTCGATTTCTGAATCATTCTTCAAGTCTTCCAACTTCGTCCTAGATTGTTTGGAAACGATCTCCGGACTCCTGAGCTTATTATCGCAGAGCGGATCCACGTGAGGCGATTCGAACAGCACCAATTCCGGAGAATATTGATGCGGATGCGAAGCGTCGCTCGTTTCTTTATCTTCATTTCTCTGATCAAAGAATCTCGGCCGTACATTTTTCTGAGATTCTTGCACCTTCAGAAACTTAGCCTTCTTTCGCGATCGTTTGTGCTTGCGTCTCGTCATGAAATATTTATGTCCAGATAATCACTGTGTACTATTGTATATACAAGATCGTCTCGCGATGAATTAAATACCTATCTATTTGCACTCTTTATTATAGTTATGTAATTTAATCAAACTTTAAAGCACATTTTTGCGCTACACTTTCGTACGAATTGCGGATACGGGAGAATTATTGTATCCACGCTTGAGAGTTCGTTACTGTCCATTTCAAAGTTGTCTACTTGTGTATTATTGTGATTCGGTATTTACATACGATGACACGTAGCTTCTCGTCATGCGCATAAATAATATATAAATCTATCGATTAATATTCGTTTCTAATGCAGATTAACTTTAATATCTTCTTTTTCTAATTCTTACAACTTGAAAAAGATGAAAATTGAACCGATTATAATTTCGTCATATTTAAGTTTATCTTCTTGTATAGTCTATCGATTTTAGAGTAAATTTATGACATCTGATTATCAAAGTCATAATATACAGGCAAGTTGAACTTTCATTCGAAGAAAATTGAAACTTAAATTTAATTCATGACAGAACAAATATAAAAACTAATTAAATAAGAGAAACCCTATATTCGGTCTAAGCGAATCTGCTTAAATCTTTCTATGTGAATTTATATCAAATTCTGTAAACCGCACGCCGAAATCTTTTCCAACCTTGAAATACATCAATCATGAACAGAACTAGAGTATAGTAATATCACATATTAAATACAAATATAAAATCTGTGACAAAAGAGGAAGAAACTTTCTTATGTTTAGTCGAAAAAGCGTTTATTCAAACTTTTCCTACATCGTTCACAAAAAAATTGCTCGAGCAGATATATGAATTTTGAAAAGTCCAATTTTTTCTTCCTTATTTTACATAAATTCCTATTACAGATATAATTTTTCTCTACACTTTCTATACAGTTTCAATAATAATATTTCACTTATACTACATGATCTTAATATTCAATCTGTCCATAATTCTACATTTTTAAAATGCATATCTGCAGGTCGAGAGAAATGGAAGATACATTCACGGACTTTTGCGCTTTTCACGATTAAAAAATTTCGATTGTTATGATAATCTATCATAATTGCAAAGAAGGCCAGCAATTCGACAGATCACGCTCTATCCTAGGCCCGACAATTTATAAAGTCTTCTCCTTTCTCAATATTTTTCTTAAGCTCCGGGATGGCGGCGTCCAGCAATTTCTGCTCAAAGCTGCTTAGTTTACCTAATCCCAAATTCTTCTCAATTCCATTTTTCTGAAATTTCAAATAAATTCCAAATGAAAATTTTCATCTTTTTTTTATGATGTAATTAAGTAATAAAGTAAAACACCTTTTATACATTTTTATTTGGAATAGTCTTCCTAAAAAATTTTCGAATATTTTTTCAAAATTGAATTGTATGTCATATTATTCTAAGAACAGACAACATAATAAAAAATACATTTTTATATTGATTAAAAAACAAATCATGTACATGAAGAGAAGATAATGTTTTATTTGAAGTCATTTCAAAATGTATGATAGCATACGTATTGATGCGGTGTTAAGCAGTTTATTTCGATGTTTTTACTTACGCCCAGAAGTATCGGCGTAGAAAAGTATTTGGCATCAGTGACATTCGATTTGACGTACGAGCACTCGATGATACCCGTTTCCCCATTCAACGCTCTTATTAATGAAAGACCAAATCGTGCGCCAGCAAAAGCCATGGACAAAGTCGCGGATCCAGTTCCTGCCTTAGCTTTAACGACCTCGGTACCGGCCTCTTGAATCCTCTCGGTAAGAGCTTTCAGTTGATTATCCGGGAAGGAAACCGACGGTGTGCACTGCGAGATCAACGGGATAATAGTGATGCCACTATGTCCGCCAATGACTGGGACGTTGACTTTTTGTGAATCAAGGTTCTAAAAAAGCAATCATTTCAGTATTATCGCTATCTCACCTTTTTTTAAATTTTTTTTTATTATTAACTAAAGATGGAAAATAACGTATTTATATCCAGTTCCAATTCAATAATGCCATTAAATATATAATACTGTTATATTCGATGTCTTTAATTATTCATTACATTTATATATGGGATATATGTTAACAACATTATGTTAAAAATAAAGAATAAATCTTATAAACAATTGAACAATATTGAAAATAGATCGAAAAATCTTCAAATGATATGAATAAAGAGAGCTATACTTGATCAAGGTACAATTTGTTTAAACTGGAAAGTGTAAAAATTTACACAAAAATATTAGGCATCAAGATCCCTGATTGAATATGGCTTTATCCGCAAATACATTGTTAAATTTTATAAATCTTCTTTCTCGTATTATATATATGTATATTATCATGTTTAATCCCATATAAAACAATCTGAAGCTGAATGTTTGTACTTGAGAAATAGATGAAAAAAAAAATGCAATCGATATTAATTAAAACAGATGAAGTCTTAATTTAAGGTTACTATAGTGACTTTCGTAACGTATATATTCATTTTAGTGCCGATAATTTTGCTTGTGTTAGGAACATAAGTTAAAAATATTTACTTATGTATAAGTTAAAGATTATTTTATGTATGTATATTGCTGTATTGAATACCTTCGCTTCCGCGATGAAGGCGTTTGCTCTGACAATATCCAAAGTAGTTACTCCGAATACGCGATTAGGATCATAAACGCCCGCCTTTCGTAGCACTTCACTCGCAATTGGTACTGTGCTGTTGACTGGATTTGAGATGATTGCTATAAAAGCCTTTGGCGCAACTTCAGCCACCGCAGCAGCAAGATCCCGGACGATGGAGGCATTCGTATTAAATAGATCATCACGTGTCATGCCTGGTTTGCGTGGAACGCCCGCAGGTATAATAACAACCTAAAAGTAATGCATATGAATAAATAAATCGTGAAAATTTAAAACGAAATCGATTAATTTCAATCTAATGAGTTAAATAAAAGGTATAAGTAATCGTTTATAAATGTAACTATTAAATATTTGTGTTGTAAACACTCTGTATCTATTACATACTGACTAATATAATCTTTTGTATCATAATGACATATACCTGAGAACCTTTAAGAGAATCTTTGAGCTGCTCCGGACCATTATAAGCTTTAACTTTTGCAGGAGTATTCATATGTGAGAGATCGGCAGAAACACCAGGTGTGTTCACAATATCATATAGCGATAATTCCGTAATGAGAGGAGACTGTTTGAGAAGCAAAGACAGTGGCTGGCCAATTCCACCGCTTGCTCCCATGACACTGACTTTTGCATCGCGCTGCGAAAAGAATAATACAGTTAGAATTTTAACATTTTGAAAAAAAAAAAACAATTTGCCTAGAACTCAATCCAGATGAGGAGTTCAATTAAGAATGTAATACTCTGTTAAATCTTTAAAATAATTGTATTTGCAATTAATGCTTAAAAATACCTCCAATTCTCATCTGTTGATTTCAATGTATTTATTATATTTTCATTTATTTTATAGCTCATTTTTTCATATAAAGGATTCATAAAAAAATATGTAGGTATAACAAAGCAACGGAATTATTCTTTTTTCACAATCAGATTCCGAAAATGTTGTGATGGGCCAATGTAATGTCAGCATTGGAGCTGAATAATTTGCAGTTGCATAACAGTGTTCCGATTGCGGCACTCATGGTTCAATGATATATGATAGGTGACAAGCGATATCTCTTAATCTCTCCCACTGCGCGTGTCGTCAAAGGTCATTGAAGATTCTCTTTTCGCATTCACATGATCCCAAGAAATATAGCAAATGTGATTATAACCAGCAACTTGTATGTAATATTATATATGAGGACGTGAACTTGTCTACATATATGTATGTTGCGTGTATAAAAAAAGAATATATATCGATGCAGATTTACATGAAAAATAAGATTCTAAAAGATAACTTTTCAAAGGACTTTTCCAAGGTGGATTTATTGCTCCACTGAATCGCTATCAGCACATGGAATATCTAACAACATAAGGTAGTAAAATGTTACATATTACTCGCAGGGTATATTAATAATAATTAATTTCCGACCGATTCTCACTTCTCAGAAAACAGATTAAAGTTTCATGGTTCGCTTTAATGATACTTTACCGTGGCGCTCGTGGATAATAGTTTCGCGCCTTGCTGGCTGACATTTACGACGGGCCTGAGGAATCGGGGCAGCATGTCGACGGCAGTGATGAGTGGACGTCACGCGCCAAATGGTCGTGAAAATTTTCGCGAGAAGAGCACTCTCTCACGCCCGATATATCTCAAAGGCACTCGTGTGACCTTCTTCGTGAGAAATTCACTGACAGCCGGTGGCGCTCTCACTGAAAGATGAATTTAGAGACCTCGTGCGATGGTAACGTCAAGTTTCGATTTTAATATTATCAATGTATTGGAAAATATATTTTTCGTATTTGTGTGTTTCAGTGTTTTACATGAGATACATAAATTCTGATATATAAATTTGTAGTTACTTGTCATAAATACAACAAATACAAATTGCGTTCCAATTATGCCACCGCGGATACTTTTTAGATGACCCAATATATTAAATTATATAAATTATTATATATTGTATAATCACGATATTAAAATACGATTACCGATATTAGGTAAATTTTCGTGATTATCATTGGAAGCTTAGTGGTAATTAAAGAGTATCTATGTTATCGACTGTTGTTTTAAAATTTTCGACAATTTAACATCGAATATTAATTTCGTCACACTGACGAGGTACTATTAAAGACGATGATTTTGGGCAAATTTTCGTGTTTACATATTAATAGGGGTTTTATAGGCCCAGAGATAATTGATATTATCGAATAAAAATTTGCAATTATTAACATAAATTTCGAATATTTCGATAATACATTATTATATTCATGATTTTTTTATATACTACATATAAATGCTGTATAAATAAGCATGCATAATTTCAAAATGGTAGGTTCTAATGAAGTAAATCATCTATTAATAAAAATCTTTTAAAAGCCGATGCTCCCAGCAAACGAGAATGGATTGAAATGGATTAAAATGGATTCAGATTTTCAGAAGTACGGATTCATGAATGCTAAAATGAATCCTTTTCAATCCTGAATTTTTTATTCACTTATAGAAAGAGCATATCTCTATGTCTTTCAATCTAAAAATAATATTAGCATTTTCTGTGCACATCGTGAATACTACTCAGAATTGTAAATAGGAAGTTTTTTTAGTACAGTTTTTTTTTAATTCATTTAAATTCAAAAATAATATCAGCAATTTCTGTGCAACATGAATATTGCTCTACTCAATATTCTAAATATGTAATGCAGTTTTTTAATCTAATTGAATAAAAAAAATTCTTATTTAAAAATGGACCATAAATGCTACTTAAATTATTCAAAATTATAAGTAGAAAATTTTTCAT